ACTAGACCTTGGAAGTAGAGATTCCAGTGTTTTTATTGAAATGACTAACTAGTACACTGATATCATAGTCATAGGTATGTCTTTAGATGAAGTACTATACTACTGTGGACCACTGGCCCGGATCCTTAGGTCCATATATTTATCATGGATGGATACGTCGAAGGTTGTTTCTGAGATCAATGGACTTGGGCTCCCGAGCTCCATTGCACCTCTATGGTGGCACCCTCTTCTGCACGTAGGTTCCAATGTAGTCTTTATTCAAAGTGACTTGTACACTGAAATAGAAAATACCTATGGCTTAACAATTTTGTGCCCACTGTGGCTGACATTCTTTAGTCCATCCATTTATCATGGACGGATACTCTGGGGCTTGTTTTTGAGATCCAACATATCATCGGGCATAGGTTCCTGTGCTTCATTGGCTGCACTTGTGACCTTCTTAGGCTCCACAACTTTCTGGGCTTCTTTTGAGGGCTCCCCCCTCTGTTCTGCAGTCTGAGATGGAAGTGGGTTGGGAACGCATCCTGCAGGACAAACAGACGTTCCATAGGTTTTTAAAAAATCGAGATGGCTTCCCTTTAAGTAAGGAATAATCTGCCTCAACCATGAACTACCTCCTCCTTGCAGCCCTCCTTGGGCTCCTAGTCCTAGTATGGCTCCTGGTATCCCTTCTTGGGCTCCCAGTATCCCTCCTTGTAGGCCTCCTAGTAGTGCTGGTAGGAGGGCTCCAGTCAGAATATTGGGCATAGGACAGCCACCCATTTCATCTCCGGTGCCGAATCCCTGCCCAATACTACCACTGCCAGACCCACTACCTCCACCACCACCAGCACCGAATACAGACACAGACTCCGACCCAAACCTAGACCCAAACTCTGTTCCACCATTCCCACCCCCATTTCCTGACCCAATTCCAACTACTTCATGAGGATCACCCATGTGAGTCTCTTCATTTTCCTTAGGAGAAGGTGGAACCCGGTGAGCAAGACTGAAGCTTAGCAATAACAAAAGAGAAAAAACAATCAACACAGATTTAGTTGCTGCAGCCATATTTCCTTTTTACCCACTCTAAACCAAGGTTTTCCTCGCTTTTATAGAGCGAAGTGACTGAGAAAAGACAACTTCTAATGTTAATGCGAACAAAATGCATGAAGTGCTCAGTTTGTTCATGAAATCCGGGGCATGGAGCCTGTGTGAGTAGGCTCTTTTACGTGTTGTTCGTGTAATTGTAATGCCAGTACTTTAGGAAGAAAATCACATGGGAATGTACTAAGAAGAGGCGCAGCATGTTAAATGCAGAGCTTAATTGATCCACAATATTGCATTAAAACTCAAAATTAAAAGATCCATAGCACAAGATTTGGAATCCATACATGAGAAACCTTTTTAACAAAAGGTTATACTGAATCCTGATATAAAATTCTGAAGGTCTTTAACGAGTTGTTATTAGTAACTCAACTCACATTTAAGCATGGAAAGATTCAAAGTTCCTCACTGCTACCATCCGATTCCATGGCCTTTAAACTTTCAGCCAGCATCCGTTCTCGGTTCTGTGTTTGTCTTTCTACAGCAACCATATACAGGCCTACGGAACAAAGAGTCACATTAACTATCAGCATGGAGTGATGAGGTGTTTATGATGATCATCAAATTATATCAAGCAAAATCCTCAAAAGAATAGTAGGATTGCATACTGATGGCACTTCCAATTGCACAGAGCCAGAGAATCCTCATCGACCACTTATCCCCAATGACCCCTCTGGTTCCCATATCTCTTGTACTTTGCTGCAAAAAAGACCAAGAAAATTGTTTTGAGTACAGCACCATTCTAGATTCTACATATACTTGACTGAGTAGGGTTTCAACTAAAGGGTGAGTTAGGTAACTCATACCATGAACTGGACTTGGTTTTAATCTCTCAACAATATGAGTGAGAACTAAGGAATACGACAGGAAATGAAGTTCAAAGCTGACAGATTTGCCAGCACAAATAGCAGAGAAACAATTTACATGTGAGTGTGGTTATTTACAGTCCTTAAGAGATGGTGACTTCATCTCTTCTTTAAGATCTATAATGTTGTCAATATCATGTATGCTGTAAAAAGATGTGAGAGAGGGACAGAGAAGAGATTGGTCAATCTCTAAAAGAGATGCACAAGTTTGACTCTAGATTGGCCAGGTTGAATTTAATTCCACAAAAGAGATCACATGAGAGACTTGAAGTTTATAAATTTATCATGGTCATCTGAAGGTTTTACAGTACTACACTATTAAGATCAGAAAGAAGGTGGGAATTAAATCCCTCATCATAATACTTTGGAAAATAATGTTATACATATATCAATTAGTTAGTGGCAATGTTACAACTTAAAAGCCCTGAGTTTGAGCAAAGGACACAAGGTCAAAAAGAAAAAGGCAAACAGACCACCCAAATAACAACAACTAACACATTCCCCACCCTTCCATAACCCCCAGAAATAAACGAGGAAGTATTTAGTCTAGAAAGCACCAAAAAATCAGAGTAATAGCTAGATGAAGAAACATGGAAATTAAAGAACATATTCAGCACAATAAGGCCACAAAGAAAGGAAAACTGTTCTTCAACATAGAATTCCTTTTGAATGGAAAAATAATGCCAGCAGCACAGAAATTTGAAGGATTGAGTCGTCTAGTGCCATGCACTGCATCTGAAATCAGTTTATGTTCTTAGCCATGGATATATTTCATGAGATCAAGTCATTTCCACGTTTAAGAGAGCAAGCAATTAATCCAATCCTCTAAAAGGCTAGGCATTAAAGTTCAGAACATGTCAAGGAAACTCAAAAGAGGAGAAGAAAACAAATTCTTTCAACTTCATATTCCAAAACATTCCAGCTCTGATACATGGCAGGAAAATAAGAAAAAAAGCACACATCAATGCAGATAACTATATAGTGATGCAGATGAGTTTTCATGATTTCCAGGTCCAACTGATTAATAAACAAGAAAATTCTGGTTCTTTCTTTTTTCTATAATTCCACAGCAACCAAAAGGTTCCAAATTATATTCCCTTTTTCCCTATCCTTTATGGAATAACAACATAAATAAAAGAACGAAATTCACAACTACATGCAGAGCAAATCAGAAGCAAATAGCAATATCAATTGGTAGAAAGATTGAGATGGGGCCAAACCCATTTCCGAATGTGGTCGGAAAATCGAAACTATGATACCTAAGAGCTCATACGAAGGGATCAGGAAGCAGAAACCGCATGAATTCAAGAATGCATATATATAACAAAATGGAAAAGATCCATTTCTGAATCAACAACTGTAGAACATCTGCGATCATCAGTTATAGTCGAAAGAGGGTACCTTGAAGCGAAAAAGTGAAGGGAGAGTGATTTTGAGCTGAGGTTGTTTTCGCGGCGGTCAGCTATAACCGGTAAGCGCGACTGCCGACTGGTGAGCGGGGAGACCAGGACGCAGCGGCTTAAGAAATAGAGTTAATGGCAAATAAAGTCCCTAAACTATGAGATAACACACAATTATATCCTAAAACAAATATTTAGAGAAATAAAATCCTTCAACAAAAATATCCTACAGACTTTTGTTCTATTCGCTTTAGTCCATAAGATAATTTTGAAATTGAATAAGAAAATTCAACTAACGACGTCTTACCCTATTATGGCCAAATATAAAAAAAAGAGGCCGTAGCCTATTGATTAAGGTCTAATTGTACCTTTATTTTCAAGTCTTATTTATTAAGTATAAGTTTGATCTTGTTTATTATTAACTTTCTTTAAGTCTAAGATTTATAATTAGTGAAATTAAATTTAAGATCCTTTATTGAATAGGTCTCATCTCCAAACGAGTTGCTTCAAATTAAATTTTGGGTTCACAAGATTTGAAATGAATACATTTGCACAATAATGATTAGTATGACAATTTATAGTTTCATCTATAGAATCTAATGTGATATGTAGAAATAAAATTCATATTTTATTAAAATTTAAATTAGTTATAATATTGTCTCAATATTTTATATAAAATAATATAGTTATAATATCATGTAGTATTATAAATTTATAATTTTACACAAGATTGTAATTATTTATTGTTGGTTTTTCTTATTTATACTAAATACAAACTTTTTATTCTTAACATGTAACAAAAGTTGAATCAAAGATAGGTGAAACGGGCTTCACGCGTCAAATTTCAAATTAAAGTTGTAATTTGATATTTATGATTAATCATTTATCGACAAACATTCTCACTTACCATGTATGTCAATATTAAAACCCTTTTAGATGGTGCCTCTTAGGGTTTCTCAGTAGCGGCCGCTCCTCACCCCTCTCGCCTTTCTTTTCTCTCCTTTAATTTCTCTTGTCTTACTACAACACAAGTTTCTTCGCTTAAGGATAAGGATTTTTGTAGGTCTTATCTTAGGATAGATCTTGAAGAGCTTGTTAGCTTTGGCGATATCTTCGGTGTTGTTTAATCATCTATTGTAATTTTCTCCTTCTCATCTCCATTAAGGTATGTTTTTCATTATATATTGTTATCTCTTTATACTTAAATGAGTTAATTTGAAGTGTGATTTTATTGATTGTCTATCTAAATGTTCTGTAGATTTTCTACTCCTTTTTTTGTTTTCTTATTTCTTCATAACAGATCTATCATTCAATTCAATAAAACTTCTTATCAAACTCACTTTTCTTTTAAGAAAAACATTCAATTTCAAGTCATCAACATCAATTGATCCGTAAAACTTTTAAGATTTAAATATATAATCTTTCTCTCAAAATTTTTATTTAGATTTATTCTGAATAGATAATAATAATATGACATGAATAAAATCATAAGAATAACCTTTACCATCTAATAATCCTTAAAAAATGATGTCATTTCAATTATATAACTCTTTTTTTTTAATATATCATAATAAATTATATAAGATGAGTTAATTCTCTTATTTTTTCAAATCTCTCTATACTCTAATTAAAGATTAAATAT